CCCCCCACCTGTTCGATGAAAGTATTGCTTTGAGAGTTTGAGGTTGTCACAGTTTGTCTTACAGGTGTTCTAGTTTCGGCTAAAGAACGATATTTCGGTAATGATTGTGATGAAGTTGGAAGGTGTTTGTAAAATGGTGGAGCGATTTTGATCGATGGTTTTAATGGTGACGAGTGTGTATGGAGTTAAGGGGATTAAGGGTTTGAGAACTGATGAAGTTTTGGTAGCTGTTCGTTAATTCGAATTTGGAAGGTGAAGGTTGTTTGGAGGAATAAGTTGGAGATTGAAGATTAATGGAGAAACTTCAAGTTTGAATGTTTGCTGAAGGTGGAAGAAGAATCAGAGAGGAGAGCTGAAGATTCAAGGATCGGTTTTCTACTTTTGAGATTGTTGTTCACACAGAAGAAGAAAAATGAAGATGAAAGGTTGTCATGAGGTGAGTAAGAATGGAAGTGGTTTTGTTTGAAAATCGGATTTGTTCACAGAAGACAATGAATTTGGTTGCTTTAAAGTGACAAAAAATATTTGTTGTAGTTAGCTGGGCTTGTGTTTGTCAATGGTGTTTTAGGTTTGGAAAGTTGCTGTTAAAATAAGGTAGTTGATGGTGTATGGTTATGAAAGTGTGATGGGGTTTCACGCAGATGAGATACTAGGTTGTTGAGTGATGAAGTTTATGGAGGAAGAGGGAGTGAGGTGATTTTTACGGTTGGGTTGAGGTTTGTGTTTGTGAATTGAGAAGTTATCAATGATTTTTTTCATGTTCTTTGTTTGCAGGTGATGGAAGAAAGATGAAAAAGTGAAGGAGATTAGAGAAGAAATGAAGAGTTTCGTGATTATCATCTCTTGGTCAGAAAAAACCAGTCCCCTATTCAGTTCCCTCCCTCTTTTTAAATCCCTCGGTCCTCATTAAGTTTCTGAGTTTTTTGCCTATTACTGATGTTTGGCTTCATCTGGTTTGTAGCAGGTTTGGCTTGCTTTGGTGGTGCCTGCTGTGTGAATCAGAGTTATGCAGGTTGTTTGGTCTTTTGCGTATCCCCTACTGTCCTTCATTTTGTCATGGCTTGATTTTCCTTTTGTACCGTTTTAAAACAGGTTTGAAGGAGGTTGTAGGGATTTGTCTGGCGTGCTATGGAGTGACAGCAAGTATAACTTGGATTGTAGCAGCAGGTGATGGGAGGTTATTCTGCGGATTGCAGGTTTTGTAGGAGGGTATTGGTTTGTCCTCTTTGCTACTGCCTTCTGCAGTACTCGCCTGCTGTTGTTGTCTTTTGCAATTGTCCATTTTCCTCTTGATTTGCAGGATGTGAGCTTATGATAATGTGTGTATTTTTGTGCAGGTCTAGCTGTATCATGATGTGTAGCAGCCTGTAGGTGCGGTACGGTGTGTTGCAGAATGTTGCCCCTACTGCCTTGGTGTGCAGAGGTTTTGTCCTAACCTCACTTCACATAAACAAAGTCACATGGAGAATGATGCCAAGACTAATATTATGGAAGTTGTGGAGGCACTTCTGAGGTATAGGTGATATTTGTCATTTTCTGGAACTTCTGGACGTAGCAGCTAACTTATTGTACCGTTCTTTTCAAATGCAGCGCTGCGTAATTCGTATTAACCCATGATATTGTGGGACCAAACAGGGAGCTGGCTTTGTTATATGGGGATATTGAAGGTACATACATTGGTCCCCACCTTATTTCTTTTCGAATTAGATGGTGATGCCTCCTCTTGTAATGACTTGCGGATATTCCAATAGGTAATGGCTAATGGCTTGTGATGTAGGTTGTTGTTTTTTTTCTTTACAGGAAATGGTGTTGTGCTGAGAAAGTCTGCAGGTTCTGTTTGCTACTGTAGTATAAGTCTTTTCACTTTGCAAGTGGGTATGTGGAGATGATACTGGTGAGAGACGTTAAAGTGTGGGAGCCGCGCAACTGCTGTGGGCCAAGCTTTGTAAAAATCATGAAGAAACTTTAATAGTCATCCTGTATAATTACATAGGCTATGTATGAAATTTGCTGCAATAATAATTTGTGAATAATGAGCTTAAACTGGAAAAAAAAAAAAGACATGAGCTCCTCAATGTACATTTTTCCAGGCAGGACTTGGATATTTTGTTGGGACTTTTTGTGAAGAAGAAATGTTATATGGGCTTTGTATTTTTGAATGAAATATCTTTGGGCCTTGTGAGAATTTTTGAGTTATGGATACATATTTTTAAATGACAAATAAACTGGGCTTGAATGCACTACACGCACCCGTCTTTCCCAGTTGCATCGTGTTTCCACAAACTATGAAGCAAAAATAATTTCCAACTTGAATGCTTCCACATATACCATGCTTATACTCGAAATTCAATTCATCCCATTGAATTCATCATCATGTTTGCTCTTTTTTTTTTATATATAAAATGAATGAATCAAAACTTTTCTTGCCGTTTAAACCACTATGGATCACAATTCGTAATAACTGGACCAAAAGCATTCTTTATTAACCAACATGTCTGTATCTTAGAATTAGAGATCAAAACCTTAAACTTACGACCAACATTAAAACTGATCCGGGTTCGTCTGTACTAATCCACAATTTGTATAACCTAAACCAATACCACTTTGATTGTGAATGAACCAAGAAACTCACTTTAAGTCACATATCCCTAATTGGGCCCCAATAGTCCTTCCTCGTGAGCTAGGTCTCCAAAGTTTCGAAATCAAAAGGATGATAACTTAATATCTACCCCCGATGACCTGCATAAGTGGAAACCTTAACCGAATCTTCATGCATATACCTTATACGCGAGTATTTCAAACTCACGCAAACTGGAATGACGAGTGGAAACAACATATTTTTTTGATTTTCTAGATATAGTTGGTGAATGGATATACACATGAAAGTTATACACAAGTAGGACAAATTTGGGGTATGACAACAGTTATGGGTATTCATCTAGAAGACCTAGGATGAAACTTTTGAAAATTTCAAAAGTTGGAAGACTCTGGTCGAAAACCAAACTGGCAAGAAGTTCAAGAGGTTGAGAACCGACAATGGTCTTGAATTTTTCAATGAGCCTTTCGACAACTATTGTGATGCGTATGGTATTGCAAGACAAACAACTACTTCAGGGACTCCCCAACAAAATAATTTGGATGAAAGGTTTAATCGAACCATTCTGGAAAAAGTGAGGTGCATGTTGGTAAGTGCGGAATTGAAGAAGGTGTTTTGGACATAAGCTACTATGACTGCAACATACTTGATAAATAGGTGTCTCTCGATAGAATTGGATGAAAACACCTGAAAAAGTCTGGCCAGGACATCCACCTAATCTCGATAGACTTATAGTATTTGGTTATTTAGCCCATGCTCATATTAGGCAAGACAAGGTCGAACCTAGAGCTCTGAGATGTATGTTTCTTGGATACCCAAAAGGAGTCAAAGCTTATAGGCTGTGGTGCCTAGAGCCAGGTCACAGGAGGTGTATCACAAGTCGAGATGTAGTTTTCAATGAAGCTGAGATGAATTTCAAGAAAACTGATGACATTGGTCGAAGTTCGAAGATATATGAAGAAGAGCTGAAACAAGAAGAGATTCTTGTCGAGGTGAAACATAATGATGCTGAATTGCATAACCCAGATGAAGTCAAAGAAGAATCTCAAGTTGCTGATGAAGATGAGGAGACTGATAATGACTACCTACTGGCAAGAGATAGGTCGAAAAGAGTCATCAAACCACCTCAGAGACTTGGTTATGCAGATCTTATAGCTCATGCATTAATTTTTGCAAGTGAAATTTTGGACGAAGAGCCTAAAGACTATAAGAAAGTTATGAGAAGTCAAGATAAAACTGAATGGCTGAAAGCCATGGATGATGAAAGCTAATTTGTTTCCTTGTTTATGTAGAGTGTGTTCCAATGTGGAGATTTGTGGTATTTGGATTAAACTCTAGTGGCGACAAGGGTAACTTCATGGTTCGACATAAGTTGTGTATGTTGTAGTCGAAGTCTGTTCGAGCATACTGTCGAAATATATTAACTTGTAATTTAAGTTAGTATGTCGAATAAGACCTTACTTATAAGCCCAATTGTTAAGTTTACTTGTAAACTAAGTTAACTTAATAGTCTATAAATAAACTAGTTCTCCTAGGTTATTGAGGGGGGTTAATTATTGATATTCACTTTCAATCTTTAAACCCTTATTGAGAAAGTGAATAGAAAACAAATTTAACTAATTCTTTATTCTTCTTCCTTCTCTCCCTTAAAAAAAAAATCTAATAAATTTTTTTGTATTTGTTCAAAAAACCCAATCTTTTTCTCATATTTTAATTTGTTCTTAACGACATCAATTCACTAACTATATAACTACCAACATAATTGTATTAAGAGAATAACACTTCAATATACTAAAACATATAATTAAGAGAATGATACTTCAATATACTTTATAATAAAAAAAATGTAATTTACACTTTAAGAACATATATTAAAGAATTTAAAATAAAAATATTCTTTTAAAAAGACTATGCATTCAATTATTCAAAAGCTTAAACAAAGTTATTTTTTAATACCCAAATTTAATTTCTTTAATCTTAAAACACAAGTTAATGAAATCACAAAAAATAATATAAAATATTTAAATATTCTAACATTTACACATTTTCATAACCCAACCTAAATACTCTTCTCTTGAGTCAATTCATCTCATTAAAGAATCTTACATCCCCAACATAAAAAGCAAGTGGCTTTTCACCAAAACAAAAAAACTACATCTCACACATTTCATATCATGTGGTAGACAGACAGATTCATAAACACATTCTCTCCCCTTCTTCCCAATTCCCATCCCATACCCACATCACATTCACATTCACATTCACATTCAAAATCTCAACAAAAGTATTTATATTTTTCACAAAAAATAAAATAAAAAACTAAACTTTTTTACATATAAATTTCAAAACAGTCCAAACATCCCTCCCTCTCTTCAACCCTTTTTCTCTATCACCTTCTCCAATAATGTTAACCCTTTCTTCATTGTTTTATCTTCTTTTTTTCACACTTACCCTTCAATGGCACATAGCTTCTTCAGCTATTCTATACAGTTTGAAACACCACCACAACAATCCTCACCATCAAAGACCAATGATTCATGCTAACCAAACAAACTGTGCATTGTTTGTAGGGACATGGATTCCTGATGACACTTACCCTTTTTACCAATCCTTAAACTGTCCCATGATAGATCCACAGTTCAACTGCAAAATGTTTGGTCGCCCTGATACTAATTACCTTAAATATAGATGGAGACCACTCAACTGTGAGCTTCCAAGGTAACAAGAGTCATAAAGATTGAATTTTTTGCTGTGTTTTGTGCTGTGTTGTTTGCTTGTTTCCTCTGAATGGTTCTGTAGCTTGTTGTTGTTAGGTTCAACGGTGTTCAGTTTCTGATGGGAATGAAAGGGAAGAGTATTATGTTTGTTGGTGATTCTTTGGGGAGGAATCAATGGGAATCATTGATTTGTATGATATATACTGCAGTTCCTCAGTCACAAACACAGCTTGTTAGGGGAGAGATACTCTCAACCTTCAGATTCTTGGTGAGTTTTTTGCTGAATTGGTTATGATTACCCACCTAATATTTCCTTAGAAGTTTCAATTTTTTAAATTGGGGTTTTGTAATTTTTTTATAATTTTTTGTTCACAAGAAAAAGGAAAGTTTTTTTAGCCTCTTTGTTAATCCTCTTTAAAAATCAGGGGGAATTAGGTTATTGTTATTATTGATGAGTAGAACAAAGTATTTAGTGGAAAAAAGGTGTTTTTGATGGGGACACAAAAGTGTAGTACTTTTAAGCCATTATTTATGTATTGGGCTAGTTGATGCAAACTGGAAGCAAATCAGTGTTCATTCTGTTGATGTATGTATAAAGTAAAGTAGACTTATGTCACATGAAAGTCACATTTTCCAGCTGCAAAACAAAAGAAGTTTTTGACTGAGTTTTGATATGGTATGTGCAGGACTATGGTGTGACCATTTCTTTTCATAAAGCTCCTTATCTGGTAGAGATTGATGTGGGACAAGGGAAGAGAGTTTTGAAGCTTGAGGAGGTAGATGGGAATGGGGATGCATGGAAGGATGCTGATATATTGTCCTTTAACTCTGGACATTGGTGGACACATCAAGGATCTCTTAAAGGGTAGGCAAATACCTTTCCTTAATTCACTTTTATTATAAAAATTTATTCAACAAAATGTTTACTATTTGGCCAACCCATGCCCCCAGTCGAGGCTAAGGGCATGGTGTGAACATCAAGTTCCGATATGGCGGAGTGAGGGTGGATCTGCAAAGTTAACACTTCAATATTCAAGTCCGTGAAGGAACGAGAGAGTAGTTTGAGTGCGTGAATGAGAGAATACTTGAAATGACGCATATTGTGTTTTATATAAGACCAGCGGTTAAAACTGTCTCCATGAGATCTAGCGCCATCCGGCGCCTCATGCGGGTGACTGTCCAATCAGATTCAATGGTGGGAAGTGTGTTGGAGGCTGGAATCACATGTCCTGTGCTAGGATAAGGTCTCACCAGTTCCATGCACCTCTCTGTGAGATGCTTGATATTGGGCCTTTTGTCATGGGCCTTGCGAGCAACCCAAAACACTTACAAAATAGGAAACTTTTGTTTATTTTGTCTTTATCTTTTCATCTTTAAAAAATTGAACTTTAAAGTAATTTGATTGTTGGGGTTATGATTAAGTGCAGGTGGGATTATATAGAATTAGGAGGCAAATACTACCAAGATATGGATCGTTTAGAAGCAATGGAAAGAGGTTTGAAAACATGGGCTAATTGGGTGGACACTAATATTGATCAAAGAAGAACCAAAGTGTTCTTTCTTGGAATTTCTCCCACACACACCAAGTAGGGACTCTGACTCTCTCTCTCTCTCTCTCTCTCTCTCTCTCTCTCTATTGTCTTGACCTGATTTCTCTCTCATAAATTATTGTACTATAACATTATTGTGTCTGTTGAACTGGAAAATCATATCCTAAGCCTAGAAATATCTTTGGTGCTATGATTGGCATTTAAGGGCTAGAGGCCCATTTTCTTGACCTATTGCAATTTGAGTTATATATAAGCTATGCTAAACCTCAATCACATTGATATGCAGCCCAAATGAATGGATCTATGGAACAACAGCAGAAACATCAAAGAATTGCTATGGTGAAACTGCACCAATCAGTGTAACTGGCACATCATACCCTGGTCTATTTCCAGAACAAATGAAGGTTGTAGACATGGTGATTAGAGATATGAACAACCCTGTTTATCTACTAGACATCACAATGTTATCAGCATTTAGAAAAGATGCACATCCTTCAGTTTATAGTGGTGATTTGAGTCCTCAACAAAGAGCTAACCCTATTTACTCTGATTGCAGTCATTGGTGTCTTCCTGGTTTACCTGATACTTGGAATGAATTGTTCTACACCATATTGTTCTATTAAATTTTTGTACTTTAGTACTAGATGATTAATTAACACAATTATTTATCACTATTTTTTTTACTATATCTTTTTAAGTAGGTAATGCATTTATTATTATTATTTTTTGAAAACTTGTATCCGGTCTGACAAATTCAAATTCAAGGGGACCAATCCTACTGTCCACTAGTAGAAGTCTATTTAAAGTTGGAACAAAACTCTGCATGAATTGGTTTGGTTCAAAGCAAATATTGTTAGTACTTAGCAGGATTCAAACTTGAAACTTTAAGAGAAAGACACTCTTAAGTCTAAACCACCGACTCTTCGGATTTAGATGTTTAGATAATTCCTTTATTGAGAAATACACAACTCTTCTTAGAAAACCCAATTACAATAGAAAAGTTCAAATCACCACATCAATTAAAACCAAAGACAAGATGTGGATTACACACATCAAAACACAAATACAGCTAAGTAGGAAGCCTTATACATACAAATTTGCCTGGATATAAAATACACAACAGGCAAATTTTCACTTTATGTTATTCTTTTTATTGAATACTAATAGTATAATAACTTGATTTCTTGGGCAAGTAATACTTGCTGTCTCATACTAGGTTTGAATGGCAACTCCAAGCGGGGAAACTCCTATCTTTGGTATAATTTTCTCTGGCTCTACACCTTTTGTAACTGGGTTGATTTGGTTTTCATAAGCTGACACATGTACTCCAAATGCTGCTCTACCAGAAGGATCAAGGTTGTTTGACCAAGAAGCATCCCATTCAATTGCTTTCGCTGTGCTGCATGCAACACTAGGTCCTCCAGGAACTGTAAGCCTTGCTGAGTTCTAAAAAAAATAAGAAAACAAAGATTTGATTAGAGACCATTGTTAGGATCGCTGTAGCATCGAGACCTCTGAAAAAGGTGTCGACGTATCAGTATCAGTGTGGTGTCTGTCTTTCATAGGTTAAGATATCTCATGAATACAGATCAAGATGTGATCAAGTGAGTTATATACCTGAGGGAAAAACCTTTCAAAGATCATTCTATAGTAATATGCTTCTTTGGTATTTGGAGTGTTGAAAGGAAAAATGTGAGATGCATTGAACATCATTTTGTCAGTGACCTATTAGAAAATTTCAAGAACCAGTTATTAGCTACATGTTGCATAAGCATAGTAAAAAAAGAAATTTTGAAGAAAAAAAGTTGAATTTTTTATTTACATGTTTTGCAGCATGGTCCTTGATCCCATCAATCCAGCCATATCCAACTCCATCACTGAACTGTTCCTTCTGCCTATATAAAATGTGCTACATGAAATCAAATTTACAAGATGTTAGTTTCACAAATTATGGACAGAAAGTGTAGCAAATAATGGAAAAGTAGAGTAGAGACTCACCTTAGGCAGATACGGATTCTCTTCATCATCAAAGGCCTTTCTTAGAATCCATTTCTCAATTCTTCCTTCATCATGTTTTATCTGAAAAAAATCAAATTGTAGATTAACCACTTAAGCAATTTTTCATTGCAAATTTTTCATATTTTCGCATTCATGTATCATACCATTTTAAACTCAGGATCAATGTCCATTGCAACCTTGATAAAGTCCTTGTCCAAAAATGGTACTCTAGCTTCTAGACCCCATGCATATGTTGATTTATTTGCTCTCAAACAATCATATCTATGAAGAGCTTTGATCTGCATTATTATATCAAAACCTTTAACTTCAAGTACTTTTTATATTTTTTCTATCTAAAATGAGTTATGTAATGTAAATCTATGACCTTGCGGCATGTTTCTTGGTGAAACTCTTCCTTGTTTGGTGCCTTATGGAAATACAAATACCCTCCAAAGATCTCATCAGATCCTTCTCCAGAAATCACCCATTTGACTCCGGATGATTTGATCTTACGAGACATCAGAAACATAGGCGTCGCGGCCCTTATTGTCGTGACATCATATGTTTCTGTATGATATATGACATCTTCAATTGCATCTATACCATCCTGCATAGAAAAGTTTGCGACCGTAATTTAGACTACGACTTCAAATTTGACTGCAAGTTTTCGCAACTATGAGCCGAAAAGTACTGTTTAAAGTCGATTATATACCTGGATAGTAAACTCAAATTCATGATGGACAGTTCCTAAGAAATCTGCAACCTCTTTTCCGGCCTTTAGGTCAGGAGCACCCTAATCAACACAACAAACCAAAGATCATAATCCACTAAAATCAATTTTCCGTTCGTAAGTTTATGCATATTATTATACCTTAAGGCCTACACAGAAAGAGTGCAATTTTGCTCCCCACTGCTTAGCAGCTTTCGTACCAGCAAGGTATCTAGCAGTGACAGACGCGACCAACGAAGAATCCAAACCTCCCGATAGTAAAACACCGAAAGGCACATCAGTCATCAACCTCTTTATCACAGCCTGTAATCAATCATCACATCGATCGTATTAACTCTACTGGAGTCTAACTCAAACTTACAAACTCGACCAGACAAAAGTAAATGGGACCTTACCTTCTCAAACGCGTTCCTCAAAACTAGAGGATCATAAGGTGTTGACGGAATAACAGCCTCATTGAACCACGGAGGATTATACCATCGACGAAACTCTCTTTCTTTGCTCGAGTATAAGTGACCGGGCGGAAAAACTTCGAAATGTTCACATTCATCATTCAGTCCTTTCAATTCTGATGCAATCCAAACAGAACCTACAACAACAAACATGTACCAAACTTGTCACAACTTATTCAAATTCTTTATAGTAACGAAACATAACAAATCAACAAATACTATAACAAATTACCATCTAGTCCCCAACCAATGTACAAGGAAGTAACACCTATAGCGTCCCTCGCAACTATGAAACTGTTGTCACGAGTATCCAGCAGAACAAATGAAAATATACCGTCCAACATATCGACGAAATTTTCTCCATGTTCCTCGTACTAACAAAAAAAATTAACAAAATCAATAACAATAACTCCAATGACGATTATGATTGCGCAACCGCAGAAACTGCAGTTGCTCAATAAAAATGAACATGACTATGACTATGACTATGACTAACCAGGTGTGCAATAACATCACAGTCACATTGTGTAAAAAATTTATGATCAGGCAATTGTTTTCTGAGCTCTTCATGATTGTAGATTTCTCCATTCACCTGATTTTTAATGAGACAATTTATATGTTACCATATAGTAATACACTATAACATATTAGTATGAGAAGTGTAATAATTAATAAACCTTATAGAATATTATGAGGCTTAATTATTATTATTACCGTGACAATAATTGATTTGTCTTCATTGAAGAGAGGTTGATCACCAGAAGCAGGATCAACAATGGCTAACCTTTGATGAGCCAAATAGTTATCACCATGTTGGTGGAGCCCACTCCAGTCTGGCCCACGGTGCTTCAATCTGTTACATCATATATATCCACAAACATTAATCAATAAATAAATCATCAATCAAATTACTTAATTAATTATATACTCAAATTGGACTTTATACATATCAATGGCCAATTATTACATCTTAATTCTTAACCACTGGACCCCACATCCCAGTTTTTCATTTTTATCTTACTATATAAGAAAATTATTTAATAATATGTGTCATAGTTTGTATACTTACCCTGTCAAAGTCATGTATGTTTATCCTAAATTACTACTACTAGTAGCTAAGCATGGGGTCCCAATATAAAATAGATAATTATATTTTCAACTCTTGCATATAATTCTTCAACTTTTAATTTTACTTAAATATTCATATAAAAATATTCATAAAAGAAATTTCATTAATATATCAACTTTGGTTAATATAAATATCTTTTATGTTATAGTATATTTAGCTTAGTTGCTAAAAATACTTATACCCTCTTAAAAACCAAACATTTTGAATTACTCAATTCTCAATATTAGCTTGTAAACCAAAAAAAAACATTAAAAAAACTCCAGATAAGGAAAACTTTTATCATGCAAAATAAAAAACTATGAATAATGATACAGCAATATCGATAATAATATTTTTAATGATAAAATAGAAATGATCATAAATGTCGGTGTTCAATGATTTTTTTTCCAGAGATATGTATATGAAAATGATAAGAATAATTGCCTGCGAGAAAGCTCAAGTATGCGAACTCGTTTAGCTTGTGAATCATCAGAGCAACCAAGTACAGCAAGTATGCCACACATTATGTAAGGTTTTTGAAGAAACAAAGAAAATGAGAAGAGGAAAAAGAAAACAAGACACGAAAAACAAGGAGCAAAGAGTGTGGAAGAAGCAACACGTAGAATGGTTTCAATTTGATCGAGTTAAGTACTATATCTATCGACGTACACGTATTTATACACGAAAGGTGGGGGTTAAACGGTGTCGTTTGGCTTTTTGAAGAAGTGTTTACCGGGAACCGGGTGGTGCCGGTGACTTTAAATTGGGACCACCGCCACGTGCTATGACGTGGTTTGCTATGGGATGTTTTTGTCACGTTATTTACTTAAATTTACTTTTATCATCATTATTGGTGTTTTTATTTAATTATTTTATTTGATTCTGGTTTATGCTTGAGCGGTTTGCTGCTTCTAGTTTATCCATAACTGTTTTATTTTTGTTTTTGAGTGCTGCGTCAGCTTGAATCCATTTTGAGAAATTAATAATGGTGATTAAATAGATTGGAAAATGTTTAGAACTTTATCATTATTATTTTTTGATAACCCAATTCTTAAGTTTCTCATCGTATTGACTTTTTTCCATGGACTAATTCTATCTTAGTATTTCTTGTGCCGATTTACTTAATTAATTTGTCTTATTTTTTAATAGGAAATCTAGAAAGCATACCTAAGAAATAATAGAATGAAGTTCCTCTACAATAATCACAAATCAAAATAAAAAAGTTTAAAATTCTATGAAATTAAACTCGTCGTTGTGATGGATATTTGTAAGATGAGATGAATAACAATTGACTTTTCGATAAGTATGTCTAATTCACACTTTTAATATGCTCGA